GCGACTAAAACAAAATTACGAAGTAGACTGGACATAAACCACACACTTGAGGTGTCATTGTCTCCTATTACCCCGAGATGGGACTGTCTGACTGCAGAAAATCAAGCTCGGGGCTGTGGTGAGTCGTCATTTTCATGCACTTTGAATTTGCGTTGTATCGTATTTTGAAGGCATTAAACATTACCAGAGCGATAAGAGTGTTGCGACCAGATTAGACGCTCCTTGTGTTTATTATTATATTTCGAAAACACCACAGTTTTCATGCAGCTCATACGATATTATTTTGTTGTATTAATCCGCCACACCTTAAATGCCGGTCCCTGAAAATATTGTCTGACTTAAACCGGTCCGTGGGGCAAAAAAGGTTGGGGACCCCTGATCTATATTGTCTTCCTCGGCTTTCTCACTCACCCGTTTCTTAAGTACAAGTCTGATCATCTATATTGTCTTCCTCGGCTTTCTCACCGACCGCACGCCTTGTCCATGTGTCATTGCGCTCATAAATGTTTGCATCTGAATTACACACCTTCCCTTTCAAGGATACAGCCCAATTAACATGATGTAATCTCATTTAATCAATGTCGCTTCCAATTTGTGCAGGGCGACTAATGCATTTTCATCTCATTATATATGCCTTTCCATACGGCAAGATCACAGATGTATTATTGTGCTTCAAATGAACTCAGCTTTATTTATATCAAACCTTTAAACAACCACCACTGCGTACAAAGTACTGACACGGAGTAAAAGTCAGTCATACCATAACAAAGACAGTGAAAACAGGAAATTACGAACAAAACATTTGTATATCAATTAATAATATTAATTAATGATCAATTCGTCAATTCATGTTTTAATATGAAGCATAATCATGTCTCCACTTAAATGAACTGTCTCGCTACACAGAGCTAAACTACACTAACAATAGCCATGTATACAGAGACTTTTTCGATGGGCAGGTTTTTTTTTTTTTTTTTTTTTTAAATACACATTTCAGTCATTCCATCATTTCATTGCTTTTTATGGTCTATATTTATCAGGAATCACCGTACGTGATGCTTAAGAAGAAACATGAGCAGCTTGTTGGGAATGATAAGTACGAGGGCTACATCGTTGAACTGGCTGCAGAGATAGCCAAACATGTCGGCTACCAGTACAAACTGAAGATTGTTTCGGATGGCAAGTACGGAGCCAAAGATCCTGACACCACAATGTGGAATGGCATGGTTGGAGAACTTGTGTATGGGGTGAGTATACGGCTTCGCATGGGATTTTATCTGTTCCTAGTGACAGTAGGGGTAAGAGTTGCTAGTGTCCTGTGTTGAAATGAAATTTAATACTCACCATCAAAACTGTGGATATCCTCCTCTTAAATAAACAAAACCCCATCATGGTTATTGATACTGTATAACTTGAAACTGACAAAAGTTATAACCATTTCGAAATGGAACAAAAAAAAAGCTGATGAAAATTCTACCTTGTTTTGCGCTTGTGACCCAAAAAAATTATTTTATTGAAATGAAACTAACCTGTACAAGCTGTTATAAACAGTTGATAAGAGATTTTCAATCAGAATCATTTCACCCATAATAATGCATGAAAAGCCCACTCGCGGTGTGCTTTGAAAAGTCGGTTTTCTGCAATTCTGCTGCCACTTGTGAATCTTCTCGTCATTTCATTTCCTCTTTCCTCAGAAAGCAGACGTGGCCGTGGCTCCCTTGACCATCACCCTCGTCCGAGAGGAAGTCATCGACTTCTCCAAGCCCTTCATGTCACTGGGTATCTCGATCATGATCAAGAAACCCACCAAATCCAAACCTGGAGTGTTCTCCTTCCTCGACCCTTTGGCTTACGAGATCTGGATGTGCATCGTGTTTGCCTACATCGGCGTCAGCGTGGTACTGTTCCTTGTCAGTCGCTTCAGCCCATACGAGTGGCACGGAGACGACTACGAGGAAGGAGGAGAGCCACAGAGCCCGACTCAAGCGGCGGCCTCCAACGGATTGCAACAGAGCCAAACAACGGCGCAACCGAACACCAACCAGCAAAGTCCAGAGCAGACAAATGAGTTTGGCATCTTCAACTCCCTTTGGTTCTCCCTGGGGGCGTTCATGCAGCAAGGCTGTGATATCTCACCACGGTAAGAGTTCTCATTTAGATCACCGTGTGTGTCAGCTTGGCCCATTTCTGTCTTTCACTCATATCGAGCAAGCGGTCAGTTGAGCTTTTGATTTACTGTAACGCTTTGAAAAGCAATCACGAAAGATCCTGATGGGAGTATTGAATGTTCTTTCGGCTCCCATTAGTGCTCTCAGATGTAGTGGCAAGAAACCATTCTCCAAAGGTCACCAATTAAAAATCTCATTAAGTGTCTGAAATTAAAGACACTTAGGTCGACTTTGTGAGCTTTCCGGAGAGACCGGCAGGAGAAAATGAAAGGATTATGTTAGTATCTGTCACTGTTCGTGTGAGTCTGACCGAGCAGATACGGGATAGGTCAGGCGTTTCTTCTGTCTTGAAACATTAGATATGTACACACACACACACACACACACACACACACACACACACACACACACACACACACACACCACACACACACACACACACACATATGCCCAATTTATAGGGCGGCCTGCTGCTAACAAAAAGCAAATCTTGGGTGCATACCTTAAATGACATCTTAGTAAATCGGACACCAAGAATCATCTCAGCTGAGCTGGAAGTAGTGAATGTACAAGCTGGGTGCTTTTCATCTAAAACCGTCGAGCTATATATAGAATTTCCTTTGAAAATTGTTTCTGGAATAAAACACAAATAAATACGGTAACTGGAGTTATCCTGTGTTTCACTTAGCATCCTCTGTACCCAAATTGTCTTGGGAGGGTGAGGTAAGGAATCCGTATACCTCTGCATTGGCTGTTCTTCATGCTCGATGTATTCTATTGTCAGAGGGCTGCCAGCGAATGCATCAGATTTTTCTGCCAAGTGTCTTGCAGGGACAGTTTCAACATCCTCTCTGAGTCCCTGTCGTTTCTGGTTAACATGCACACCAACATGTTTCTGTCTTTTTCCGACCACACACTGGGTAGGTCTCCTTTTGGAAAGCGTGAGTGTATCTTTGCTCTAGCACTGTTTAGCAACAAGTCTGACATCCATTAAAACACGCTGGGATTGGACATTACTGTCCAATATAACAGGGCGTCCAGTGGCCACTGTTGTGTGTGCAAGAATATCAACTCAGTGAATGTTTCACCTCGCACAGTATTGCACTGAGGGAATCACCCTCCCCTTAAACATTTGGGTGACCCAGTTACTTTAGTTAGCGCGGCTGTTATTCACACACAGAGGTGAGTGTCGATGGAGCCCCAAAAGTATTATGAGCCCTTGTGGATGATTTAAAACGTTATTGGTTTGGTTTTGTCTCTGCATTTATAAAAACTCACAAACTCGCATCTTCATTTCTCAAAGCTTTTTCGCAACACAGCCCACAGGTGCATAGAGAAGTGCAATATTTTTTTTTCACAGCAACACTCTCGCTCTCTCTCTCTCTC